TAAACGAGTGAGAACAAAACTGCGAGCCTTCGATACAACGCGCGACAGATAAAAAAAGAAAATGCGTTCTACCGTAAACAAAGGCTTATTGTAAAGACCCGAGAATAACGACGACTATTCAATTTTACGCAAATTTGTTTACAGCTTAAGATTCGCAACTACACAGAATCTTAAAGTATTGATTACCACTAACCTCATTCGAGCTAAGGATGGAGGGAGCACTCCTTTCTCGTGCAAATTTGTACCATCGTCCGTTATCGCGTCGGATCTCAATTTGGGTATTCTTATCTTTACCGAGGCGTGCCCCAGAGCGCCTTAAAACGACTCGCTCTCGAATAATCTCGCGAATTACCCATTCGTTTGCAGTAAATACAATTAACTATTCGGGGGAAAGCGTAGTGATTAAACAAATTACAAATAAAAAGAAATGAAATAAAATATAACGAAAAACGTGTAAAATAAACGCATCGACTGACACGTTTTGTTTTCTTGGTATACAAAGCAACACATGGGCGATCTGCCAAGAAGAAGGTGCCTCCCGGGAGGACTTGTGGGAAACTGGCTTCTGTTTATGTGTTCGACGCGTGAAGAAAATCCAGAAAACTCCACGCGCTGGGCCCATCGGCGAGGCGATTTTATCCCCTCGGCCGGCCATTGGTGAGTTCGTCAATATGTTAGCGAAACCCGAGACACCAGTTTTTCTTTTACTCTTTCCTTCCCGCCAGCGCTAAGAGAGTCTTTATTCAGGACCCGGCCGAGTCCACAATGGGGAGCGGGTCCTACTTATCCGGGACCGACCGCCCCTCAAAAATTCCTAAAGAATTGTTCGCCCGGATCTGTTCCCGGTTCACCAGACCAATAGGACGAAGACTCCACCGTCTACGTTTGATGACGCGTTGATAAGTAATCACGTAACACGCGAAAAACGGATTTTAAAAGATGACTTCTATTGTCACACGCCTGCAAAAGTGACTTCCTCGTCCACGTGACAGTTTTTTTGCCGGATTTTGAGGCGAAGGACAGTAACCTTTTTTTTTTATAACTAGCGTAACAACCGGGAAGAAAAAAAAGGCTCCGGAAAAAAACACGAGCGAGAAAATTGTTTCCAGAACGATAAAAATGTAGTGTTAGTTGTAGTGTACGTGATCTGTTATCAATTTCTATCATTCCGGAGAGTCGGTCGACATTTTTTGTTTATTTTAATCGTTTTTCTTTCTTTTGTATAGCTAAATTTTTGGAACATTTTTTCTTTTATTAGTTATAAATGTTTTCCACGCGTTACAATTCGATTGTTCGACTTACTAAATTAAAATAAATAATAATAATCTACGTGACAAACAATCGTATTGTGAGAAATAAAATATTTAAAACCCGGTCTTCTGTATATTCGTTCGTAATCTAAACAAATGTTAGTTTTATTATCAGCCTGTAATACTAGACTTATTAACAACCGAATACGAAGCAAATACAAGAACAAGAAACAGTAAATAAATGTCATTATTTTTATATTTAAATTACATATTTTTATATATACTTCCTCGTAAGGTATTATCTATTCACAATTCGACCTAATTATTCCTGTCCGAGATCTAATTATTTTAATATTTAATGGCATCCATTGTTTTAGCTGTCATCGATTGTTATGACACGTAAATGTAGACACTTCAAATTAAATATTTCCTACGCGTGTGACGATATTGCTACCAAAGACATTTACAACTCGGTTGTTTAGAATGTCGCGATGTTGACTATGGGGAATAGCTTCTTAATCCTTATAAAACTCCCAAACAATACGGAACAATAACGACTCATTTCGTTCCTCTGATAAACACTTGTCAGAATTTTCTACGCGTTAATATCGGCCGAACACTAAACGTTTATGTTAATCCACGCTGTGGTAAGTGTTTAAAGTTTAAACAATACTTAACGCGCCAAAACAGAAGGTGCGCGTTGTAATAGACAATTAGATTAATTTTTACTTTGTATTTTGCATATTTTATCTTATAAATAAAAGACTAAATTTGATCGATATATTTGTTTTTCTAATGAAAAAAAAAAAAATTAATCGAATTGTTAAGGCGCCAAAGACGTCGTGGGAAAGAATACCATCTTATTACGGTGAATTAGGAACGAACGCCATCTGTGAACAAACTCAATAATAAATGTAGTGTAATTTTAGTGAGTAATCAATTATCGACACTTTCGAAAGTTTATGCTCCAAATTCCCTACGCTTAATCAAAACATACGAGTAATACGATCGGCACCGAATCTGGTCCTCCGTCGTATCGCCCCGTTCGTTGGACCGATGAAATGCACTTTCGTCCATCTTGGTTTTTTGTTTTGGGTGTTTTTGGATGCACTTTTACCATCATCGTTCGTTGTCCCGGTCCCCGTGAGATGCTGCAACGTAAGCGGATGGCTAGCTGGTTCGGGATAGTGAAGAGATTAACAATAAAAAACTGATTGAAGATGTGATTACGTGGTTTTACTTTAACTTTCTATCCCGTGGGCACTAGGAAAGTGTTCTTTTTTTTAAAGTCCATACCCATCGTATGGCTAGGTCCACAATAAGCGCGACCGGGTGAGAAGGGACCGGTCTGATGGTTCTCGTGTAAGGGACAGACCTTACACGAGAAATTCCCGGGCTTCTTTTCGGGCTCACAGAGCGGTAAAACGAGGCCTTTACCCGCTTTGGTCCTTATTCTCGAATAACTCCTAACCGGAATTATATAAATGTGTTCTGGTTTGATCCAGACGCTAAAATGTGGCGATCAGAATCGGCTCCGTACTTTGGCCCTCTCCGTCTTGAAAAAATTCCGCAAACATTAATAAAGCGCGGTGCCATATATGAATGCACTTCCGCAAAGCCGTGTTTTTCACTTTTGGCGTTTTCTGCTCCGTGGACACTAAAAGGGCCTTTTTTTCAATATCAGTCGTGAGTTCGGCTATTGGTGCCCCCATATTGGTGGGATATAAAAAATTCTATCCCGGGTCCCTTCGAGCGGTAGGGTGACGCCTTAACCGCCTCTGTCGGCGATTGTTGAATTGATCGGATATTTTCAACTTGCTACAATCTTTCAATTATACAACAGACATTAGGTTAATGTAGCCTAATATATTAGGTTCCATTGGTAAAAAACGATAGTTTTATTGACCGTTGCGCATCAATTTAAAGTACAGCTGGCACAATTGATTGTGTCCCACTGAAAGTTTACGCCTTCACCATTAAACTTTGGTTACTCTGTCGCGTGTGAGTCGACGTTATAACGGAATGAAAACGCCACAAATACGGCGCCGGGTAAAACGATTGTTCGCCCGGACCCCACAGCGGTAGGCCTCGCCGCTTCAGCCACCCACGAAAATATTACGTACGCTGCCATTTCGCGTGTATCTCCAGTAGGGTCGGACTTAATGACGATTTTATTCGTTACTACCATTTACAAATTTTTATAAAACTCATCCATACCCTCGAAACTAAGCTTTTTGCCATTTTATAATAGTTAAAAATATAGTTTTTAACAATATGATAACAGATGGCGCCAGCCAATGTTGCCGGAAAGTTTAGCAACTCGGAATTTTTAAAGTACTCCAGCTTTTATTTAAACTCCACCTTCTCGAAATAAAACAATTTAATAACGAAAACTGTTAAAAATTTGTAATAAAAACACCAAAAACTTTCGAGGAATAAACACTTTATATTCGAGATTTACGAATAATTGTTACCAACAGAATTATAATGACTTCGTAAGTTTTATTGGATATCGAATCATTATTACACACCAACTATTAATTAGAAACTGTTCAACACCGGCAAATACGTATAAAATTTTCTACTCCGTCGATCTAACACCAAAGTGGACATTTCTTACCTTCGCAATGACGAATTATTTCTGTCATTTGTCGGCAAAATTTCCTGTAGGAGGAAGTCGGAAAAAACAATTTCTTAATGAAGCATTTTATTTCTTTGAACTTCGTTTCTATTTATAAATTTTCTTCTTCTTCTACCGGAAATAATTATTGTTTTTGAAATTCTCGTTTCCTGTTTCCACTTTGACAGTTTAATCGTTTTCCACTTCCAATTATTCTTTTTCTCGCCAGCCAAATCCATCTATTCCAGTAACAATTCATATTACGGGCCTACTTTAATACTACGTAACGCCAATACTCGACTATTGTTCGTTTTTTCCGTTAATGTTTACGTTCCTTTTTCTTCCTGTATCGCTCCTTTTTAATTTTACACCATTTAACCCACAAAACGTACCAATTTTTCGTTTCGCACCAACGAATGTCTGGGTTTAAGGCCCGCGTTAAAACCAGACCACTGCAAGGTCGAGATCTAACGATTTACGAACATTTCCGAGCAATTAAAATGAAAAATGGCTTCGAACGGACGAAAATTACAGTTAACGGGAACACGGGCTGGGTGATCGTCACTTATATATTTAACCCGCATTATTTAGAATCTATGAATTAAATGGTTTCCTTTTTAGCCAATCGAGACGATCCGCAGACCTGATTATCGAGTGAAAAGACGATTTTAAACTTAAGAGAGTTGAAAGGTCGTTCACCGAAAGGAGTAGATGACTAGATGACCCGATTTCGGTTAGAAATAAGGTCAATCAAACTCCATCTTCTATTATCGTCTCGCATTGTTCAGGTGAGTCTGCAAGCATTCTGTTCCACTCTTCGAGATTAACTCCGATGGGTGATTGGAGTGTGGACTTGATTTTTCTGACTTATTATTCTATTACTAATTTCGTAGACTTTACGTATCAAGCTGCGCTACTTACTAACCGTGAATTTTCGTGCTCCCGACAGTTATTGACACGAGAATCGTGTCGAGATTCCTAAAAATTATGCAAATTAACTCTCGCTTTTATTTTTCAGCATGAGCCGTACGAGGAGATTAACCTTCGTTTTAGATTCCTGCACTTGGCAAAACAGGTTGTACGCGCTGACGATCTTCGCTCTGTTCGTTTTACTCCACCTCGAGCTGAGCCAAGTCCTGAGATGTAGTCCTAAAACGAAAGTGGCCGTGGTGAATCCGCACGATTTTCCATACGTCATCAATCAACCCGGTTTGTGTTCGGATTCGAGAAGATTCCTCATCATCTTCGTGACGTCCAGAGCCGTGGACGAGGACAAAAGACGAGCCATTCGAGAAACTTGGGGTAGCAAGGAAGAACTGAAAAAAGTGGACACGGTTTTGGCCTTCGTCGTAGGAAACCCTGGACAAGAACGGCAGCAGAAACAACTGGAAGAGGAGAGCAAAATCTATAAAGATATTCTCCAAGAAGATTTCGTCGACGTCTACTCCAACTTGACGCTGAAGACGGTCATGGCTCTGAAATGGACCACGCTCCACTGCAAGGGAGTAGAATTTGTCATGAAAACGGACAACGACATTTTCGTCAACGTCCCTTATCTGGTGGACTTCCTTAAGAACGTGAACAAAAGCAGATGGATCGCGGGTTGCGTTAAAGATCACGCTAAACAGCCTTTTCGTATGAAACACGGAAAAATGGAGCACGTTCCGTCGTTAATCAGACTGCATCCCATTTTCGTAGCGGGTGCGGGTTACGTCATTTCGCGAGATCTGGTAGAACCTTTGTATCGGACATCTCTGCGGACGAGATACTACCCCATAGAGGACGTTTACGTCACGGGAAAATGTGCCAGGGCTATTGGAGTGTATCCGGAACACGACCAACGCTTCAGTTGCGGAGAACTGGTGACGCACAACTGCGCCATGTTTACTAGATTCACGGGACACAGAGTGACGCCCGAAAGACAACACTGGATATGGCAAGACCTGAAGCACTCGTGTAACCACGAACGTGTGTCGTGACGCCGTTTCTTCGTCAGAAATTGCTTTTTTTCTTTTTTATCTCGGTACGTACATCATTTTTCAATTATAACTTTATTCATATAACTTCTTTTCATCTATAAATAACCAAACCACTATACGGAGATGGAAAGGAAACAAAATCAAGTGAAATTCCTCCTCTTGCAGAAAGATTTAATAAAGATCAACTGAAAAAAACAGCGGCAACAGTAAGGGCTCCTCATTATATCTTTTTGTACTTCATTAGAAATGACTTCGTTTGCAAGATTTCACACTTAATTTTCTCTCTTTCGCCATCTCCCGGTGTTCAAGATGCGGTTCAAATTAAATACAGTACTAAAAAAACCTCGAAAGTATGTATTATGAGATATTTTCGGAGGACGACATACTGCTTACAAAATAATAAAACTCTGAATACAAACAACTGTTCAAAACAGTAAATTTTTATTTTGTAAATAAGTAAAAAAAAAACTTGCCGATAAACCTAGAAAAAACATTTTTTTGTTCTCTAACATTAAAGACATTCTCGTATCCAATCTCAAATAATCTTAAGGAAACCGCAGAGGGAAGAAACAACACTTAAACGCAGTCGCTTTTTTCAGTTTTCTCAAATTTAATCACTTCTTTTTGTTTTCTGTACATCATATTTAATCTATGTTTGCCATACGTATAACACAATTCGAAAAGAGATTCCCTTACATTTACGAAAAATGTTGTGTATAAAATACCGGCAGTACCAGTACAGAGTATCATAAACATGCCCACAAAATGTTATTAAAATCAGTATAAGAATGTTAGAATACGTTTCGGCCTTTTCGTAATAAATGTCAAAAAATAAAAAACTGACAATTTATTTTCACCCTTTAATGACAATGATACTATTACAGGAGACCAATAAACTATTGCATCGTTTGCTGTATTCTGTCACCTCATTTTTTTTTTATCTGGTTAATTTGCAAATATCTCCCCTTACAATTCTGAGAATAGCCTAAAACAAGCAATTTTTTTAATGTATCTCTCTCAGAACCACCATACAAAAATAATTTGATATCATCTGTTTTAATTTGGGTTTAAAAGGATGAAGTGGATCCACGAGTCTCAGTTGAAATTCAAATAGAAACGCTTAACAGAATGCACATGGACTGCTTGGTATGATTTTTTTTTGTCTCCCTGGTCCTGAGGTGTCGACTTTTTATGGTTAAAATTGTTGGGAAGTGATCTGAAATGTCCATGGACAAAGGAGGCTAGAAAATCTCGCCTCGGATATTGTGATTTTAGTCCTCTCCTTCCGATTCTGTGAAGAAACCAGAACACCATAATTAGTCTATTATTATTATTAAATCACTGAAAGGATAATTTACAATTTAACAGGAAAAAACACTGGTCTTAGTACATTTACAATGCAACTAAATGACAAAAAGTACACATATCAATACAGTAACTAAAACTTCTGTTAAACTAAACCAAAATACAATACTGAAGTTAAAAAAAATCATTAAACTTTCAGTTATTTTAATTATTAACTTATTGTTGTTTCCTAAATTAACCACTCTGTTTAAATCATATCATATATTGACCTTACACGTAATTTTTCGATCTGTAATCAATCAAACCACATTTAAAACTCCCAACTTATTATTTAATCTGTACATCTAAATGTTCTAAGAAATTTTTCGACTTTTGTCAAAAAACAACAACAAAAAACAAAATAATTACACCACACCACACAAAAAAATTGAATGACTTAATTGTATAATCATTCAAAGGTATAACAAATTTAACACAGCACAGAAATTTCTTTAATGAAAAGTGATACAGTTTAATTAAAGAATAAAAAAAATCTCCCTTTTCAATTGTTAATAAACGTTAAGGAGTTCTAGAGTAAACATAATTACATTACGTTATTAAAGTCTGGCAATTAAAACAAAATTTAATTCGGATATAAAAATTTAAACAAAGATGTAAAAGCAAAAAGTTCTGGCACAGTTCAATGTTTCATAACAATAATCTAATTAAAATCTGGATAAAAGATTAAATTAAATCAATTATCTTGTTTACAAGCACAACAACTATAATTAGTATTGAATTATCTGGAGAATAATGCCATTTCTTTTAAACAAAAAATTTGTTTTCACCCCAGCTTGTTGACTGACATTTCTCTCTCTCCTCAAATGGAAAAAAGACTATTACATTTCAATTATTATTTAATGTAAATCAATTTATAGCATATAATAATTGAACTGAAATCAAAGTATGTCTGTATTTCTCTCAAACGTATCATCATCTATAATCCAAATATACTATAAATAAAATTTAATGAATGTAATTTAAATTTCTTTCAAATCACGCCCAATTAAATTGAACCGATGCACTGACTTCCTACTAAACTTGATTGCGTTTAAATATGTACTGTAGGTGTATATTAAATTTTCTCAAATTAAAAAAAAAGTTATTAAAAATACTCTCAAAAAACAGTTATCTGTAACTTGTAGATTACATATTTCCAAAACTTTCTAACATCTGATTACAAAATTTAATGGAATCTGAAAGGTAACTAAAACAAAGTCCACTATTAAAAGTACTAATATAGGGCTTCTAGCAGCAGACTTTTTTTTTATTTTTTGACTGCAAATCGAAGTTTCTCATTTGTCTGAAAGTACTAATTAGTCTAAAATCGGCAGACGCACAAAGTTTCGTTTTAAGTCAATTAAAAATATGCTTCAAAATCCGGAACTGTAAAACTTTCTCGTCCATTTTATTTATTAGCCGCACGTTTGATTTTTAATCGATCATGCCTCGCTAACAGTAGATGTCCAAATATTTTTATTTGGATAAGCAAATCAATAGGAGCTTTTCTGTACTTGTTTTAAATTTAATAATTGGATAAATAAATCCAAAAATCAGAGATTTTTTGTCATGTGCAATTTACAACTATAATGTAAGTTTTCACTATAAATTTCATTTTGTATTATTTATGTATATTTTTTAAATTAAAATTTTTTTTTTTAAATTACATAAAACAACTGAAAATTCTTATATCAGTGCATATTTTTAAAAATAAATTTAGTACAAATAATGTTCAGCAAAACAAAAAAGAACTTCCTCAATAACAAATCTATGACAAACGCAATATTGTAAAACAATAATCAAGACCAAATAAAAACATCAGAATATATTAAAGTTTTGCATGCTTTTTCAAAATTAGTCTAAGAAAAGGCCATGACATTGCAACACAAATAAAACAAGTTCATTAAGCTTAAATTCACTTTTGAATAAAAAGACATTTGTTCCGGGGTTGTCGACGTGGCGCTCGAAGGCCCACTTTGACACATGGTAGATAATCACTAAAAAATTTATAACACAAAATTTGATCAAAGTTAAGTTATTCTTTTAAAAATATCAAAGAGCTCCCAGCCCTTTTGGGGACACATCAGCAGAAGTGTAATTCCAACAAAAGATGGATTAGGGGCCATCCATGAATTGTGCATACAATTTAATGGACGAGTGGGGAACCACTAAAAATACATCATAGATGACTGGCAGGAAAAAGGTCAAGATATCATCTACGCAGACTTTTTTAGAAGTATTAGTGGCAAACAGATTTGTTCTCGTGAGCCTACTTGCAAGTTATGCGAATAAACTATCAGTTAAAAAGTTCTGCAAATATCTTCTGAAGTCATTTCTTCAATGTCAAGGAGTCCACAAACTATTGTTCACACAATTAAAGAGAAGAGAGTTTGCAAAAAAGTACATCACTGTACACAAAAACATGGTTCAAAAACTATACAATGTGTTTAACTTTTTTAGCAAGTTTGCTAAAAAAGATAAAAACATTGTTAACTTCATTTCCCACCTGGTTTAATAGACCAGAGAGAGAAATTGATTAATAATAGAAAATTAGTTAGAAGATATTAGTTTACAAAACTGTTAAAAGCATACCTTGAATTTCTAGTCCTTTAACAATTGTTTGATCATTTAAACAAGGTTTTGAAAAGTACTTTGAAAAATTTTAAATATTAGTTTAAAAAGCAAAGCTATCAATTACCATATTCTCTGCCTTACAAGAAGCACTTCTTTTCTCAAAAATCTGTCTAAAACAAATAACAATGGACCTAATAAAGAGATGACCAACTTGGGTATCATCAGCATTATTTTTATTGAAAAACTGTGCATATATATTCAAATAGACTTGTCATAAGTATAGTGAAGTTTGTAATTCATGCATTACTATTATTATAGCTTTATTTCACGCAATTTTAAATAGATTCTTATACTATGAATAAGATGGCATAATATACATAAGTTTTATTTTATATTATTAATGTGAATCACAAAAAACAACTTCATTTATTGAAATAAATAGAGAGAAGTGAAGTGTGGCCCTAATTCAAGTATTTCATACATGAGAATTTGGTATGATAAGCTGCTATATTTTAGCCCTCTTCATAATACATTTAAAGACATAAATTCAAGTGTCAAATTTTTCTTAAAGAAAATAACCTGTTGATTTTGAAAATAGTCCGCATATATGATTTAACTGAACGAAAAATGTATACTGTTAGAAAATTAAACAACATAAAAATATAGAAGAGAGTAATTTATTAGCAAACGGGAGATTGAATTGCAAGATGAATAACTATAATTATTCAGGTTTATCTTATTTGGTTCTGAAAATTTAATCTATATTATAAAAGTAAGTATTATGATTAAGTTTAAGTTTAATCTAAATGTTAATTCCAACAAATTAGCATTTAGATTGAATAGTTTTTGCAATTTTTCTGAAACTGGCAGCAGTTTAAAATTATTAATCCACTGATCAATGCATTGATGCAATCATAACAAAAAAAAAAAACAAAAATTCCTAGAACAATAGTTTCAAGTTTCATTTAATTACGTTCTAATTACTGAAAGAACTTTTTAAATTTTATACGGTCAAAATAAAGTTAAATTATAATTTGTTATATACTTAAAATGACTGACCTTCTTCAGCGTTTTGAAGCCATTCTACAAATCGCTTCATTTGATCCAAAAACACACTTTTTCCTTTAGAAGAATGTGCAGCTTTATACCACTTCAAAATCACGTCTTCACTTAATACGTCAGCTGAAAAATTGCACAAATAGTTTAGATGAAAATTAATTGACAAAATTTTAGTTTTACAACATGTATCACTATAATCGAGAAATTTGGAGGAAAAACAGCACATCCCAGATTAGGAAGATTTTGAGATAAAGGACAGTTTGTATTTCAATTTGCCAATGCTTTAATATTTAACATTTTATCAATGCAGATGTGCAACAGAACTGTAAAAGTTTCTTAGAAGATAGATCACTCATAAACAAATCTAAATTTGTCAATAAATCACTTTTTGTAATTATGCAGGATGTGCCATTTCTCAACTAAGCCCCTCAATTATAAAAACTTATTAATAAAAGTATTTCATTTTGAATTAGAATATATATTAAAATATTTCAATATTTAATTTTTAAATCATTGTTTTGAAGATTATTTTTGTGATGTAAATAAGTTATTTTATTATTTTCTTTGTTGTTATATTAATACACACTTTTTCCCCATGTTTTATCACATTTTTAATGTTGAACTTACTATCTATTATATATAATAAACACCAGGAAAAAATCTGTACAAAATATCTCAGCAATAATTCTTAACTAAGTCGAAAGTGCAAAAATGCTGTATAACATTCTACAATCTTTCGCTGCATTTGATTTTCTGCTTCTTTCAAAATGGCACAAAGGAAAAAAAAAAAACTTTATGCCCAAGTGTGTAAAACTTTTACACATTAAATAAATAAAACATTTCAAAAAACTTTTACTATAAACCATTTTGCAAATGAAAGAATTTTGAAGTGGACTATATATTGCATTCTCTGATGTTTTGAGCGTGAATTACCATTGCAGAAACAAAACGTGTTTTGGTAGAAAAGTAAAAAATTTTAACAAAAGCCAAATTTGAAGGAGTGAAGAGGGCTTTTGAAGGGAGTGACAAGGTTTCAATTTGATCTGTAGTCCTGAAATTGAAAATTTCACATAGCTGGTTTCAAGAGGCTTTGAAAACAAAAACACACATTAAAAGCAGCAGGTAATTCTGAACAGAATGACATGCAAAGATCACTGGAAAATACAAAATAAAGAAGATTATTGCAAAAGTTTTCTTCATTTTGGATGTCAAATCTTACTTTGCTCTCTCACACTTGACAATCAATGATAATGGTAGATTTTATATCAGTGATATTCTCCTCTACATTTGTCAATTTGATGTTTTCCAAGAGAAAGATATTTGAGGGCAAAGTTTTGGTTCAAACTGCAATGGGACCAAAAGTATTGAGTCAAATCCTAATCAGAAAAAGCAACCCATGCTACCCATGCCCAGTAATATTTAAACTACTATATACAATGTTGCCCAATTCCTTATGTTCAAAGGAACCATTCTTGAGTAGAGTAAGTCTTCTGGTCAGATCAAGCAAGTTCCCACTATACCAAAACTGTACTGAATTACCTGCCAAAAGAAAACATCACCTTCGTCATAAAAGAAAGACGATCCTGCATACGTGCCAGTAATTAAACCAATCGGAAATTTTCAGGCACTTCTCAAGACAGCCGTTTACGAAAAGGGGCGAAATGCAAAAAAACATCAAATTGGTTGATAGATCGCATAAAGTACAATTTGAAATATTTGAATTAAAGTCTTGTATAGAAATTTGCATTGCACTCCCAAATTGAATTGACTAATTTGACAATAGAAACTTGTAGAATTAAAAAGTAAAAGATAATGTACAGCCTTTCAACATCTACCAAACAACTATTTAGTTCATAGAGTTTTCTTTTTCCAAAGTAAAAACTAAATTACATAAACTTGTTCAGATTTTTTCCAAACACCCGTTATTATTATTATTACATAATACAAAAATAGTTTCATAATATTATATAATACAATATTTGTTTCATAAGATTCTTTATTTAATAAATATATTAATAATTCCCTCTCAAACTTCTGATAAAAAGAGTCTTAAAACACTACTGCAACATTAGAAATAAATATTTCAATTAAAAGCATTACAATCTATTTGTTATTCTTTGAACTATTTTCAATTCTGATCTTATATTAATCAACATTAGAAAACATCACTGCATTTTCCACAGTAATCAGTGGAGATGCAGGCTAGTAACAACAAAAGTCACAAAGTTCCACAGGTATGGCAGAAGGAACTCTCAAGGCAAGTTTATCTGAATTCTAAAAACAAATGAAATATTAAATTTGTAATCAAAACCTAATGTTTAAAAACCACTCACACAACTCAGTTGTCTGCTTAGCTAAATTAAACATAAATTAAGATAAGAATTCTTATTCACTTACACTGACTATTACATTTAATGCCACAGTTTCTTAATATCAATCAGTAGCATCAATTTTCTTACAAAAAGTATTTGGACTATATTGCCTAAAACTTAATTCATCTGAAAACTTAAATTGTTAAATGTAACTATCCACAAGTTTTAGAAAACTTGATTAATTATTCTGAAAAGAAATAAGTTCTAACATTTTCACATAAAAAAAGATTATGAACAGTAGCAATAATTAAAAAAATAAATGCGAGCACATTTAATAATTCAAGTATTCAGATTAAATTTGTGTTATTTTACTATTAATTAACTTGCCAAATATAACCACAAAGCCAAGCCATCTGTAGTTATATTCAGAAAACAGAAAAACAAAAACATTACAAAGAAAATGGCATCGTTAAGTAAGAAAAATTCAAGATGGAAATGAAATTATAGTCAGTGACGATATATTACTAGAATAGGTCTTTTGTGGCAAACTTACAACACACATATCCAAAGTGGCATTTCAGAGAAATCATCTGGCATGTAATGTATCATATGATTTCAATTTATCACACTAATCATTGCTTTTTCAATCAGCTTCTTTGCATTTGTTATAATTAAAGCATATTCATTTACTTAAACATACTTATTCAAAGTCTAGAACTTTGGCACTCAAACGTTTTTAAAAATAAGTACACTTACTATATGGCATACAAACTCAAAAAAGTTTATCATCCCTGGTCTAAAGCAAGTCAAATGCAAAGTTTCTATATCTGAGATGGCAGACATTTACAGAAATGATGCCACATATATTCTAAAAATCTTTGAAGGACTATATTTCTTCATATGAAAACAACAACATTAAAATACAATAGTTCTGCACATCAATCTATAATAAATGGTATATTATTCATAATGAAAAATTTCTGCTACACTTGTATCAAAGATGGGACAAAGTCTTTTGAAACAGATGCAAACTGTTGTTAATTTTTACTCGGCTGATGACAAATGAATGACGACTACATAAACACTAATTACAGAAACAAAACATTAGTTGCAGATTGTAGAATATTCTAACAGCAAACATCGATATAGAATTTTATTTACTTAACATCACATCATCAAGTGTGAACAGATTTTAGCCACATTATTTTATGTTACCAATAATCATAACCTTGAAGAATACAAGACAGAAAATTAAGAAAAAAAAAAAATATATATATATATATATATCCGTATCTTGTTTAGAAAATCAATTCAATAGAGACTTAATTTATTTTAAATAGAAAAAAAATGTTTCAATTAGACTTATATTTCAAACGTCA